GGGGCTGGCCGCCCTCTCCCCGCCTCTGGCGGCCCAGTTTCCTCCCTCTCACCCCCTGTGCAGTGGCCGGAGGATGCTGGGCCGGTGCAGATAAGGGCCTGGCCGCCTGGCCGCGCCTGATAAGGAGCCGGGCTGACCCTGGAGGAAACCGGCGGGCGGGGATCTCGAGCGCGGGCCTCCCGGCCCCGCCCCCGCTGGCACGGGTCACCCTCAGGGCCTCGTCTTCCGCTCCCCTAGGGACTGGAGCAGGGACCCCAGTCCCAGCGCAGCTGGGGAGGGAGATGCCTGGACGCATGCAGGGGGAAACTGAGGCAGGGAAGTTGCAGCCTCCGTTGTCGTCTGGTTCTGCCCTCTGGCTTTGAGCACGCCCTGCCCCTGCGTCCGTGCTGATGGGGACGAAGGAGGGGCCTTTCCGGCCCCCTGGGGCCGCGTGACTGGGGCCCTCTCCTCAATCCACCTGGTTCCTCTTTTTACAGAGCCCCTCCCATCCTCTCCACCACCCCCACCCGGGAGTGGGGCACCCAGGAACAGTTCTAACAGTCTGGCCTTGGGTGTCCAGCCTGGGCAAGTGTCCTGGGCCCTCAGCACACCATCCACACACTTCTAAGCCCAAGAGAGGCCAACTGCGGTGGCTCACGCCTGTAACCCCAGCACTTTGGGAGGCTGAAGCGGGAGGATTGCTTGAGCAACATAGCAAGAACTCATCTCTACAAAAAATTAGCCTGGTTGTGGCAGTGCACACCTATAATCCCAGCTACTCAGGAGGCTGGAGCGGGAGGATCACCTGAGCCTAGAAGGTCGAGGCGGCAGTGAAACCATGATTGTGCCACTGCACTCCAGAGACAGATTAAGACTCCAGCTCAGGCCAGACGGGTGGCTCAAGCCTAAAATCCCAGCACTTCGGAAGGCCAAGGCGAGAGGATTGCCTGAGCCCATGAGTTTGAGACCAGCCTGGCCAACTTAGTGAGATCTCATCTCTACAATAAATCAAGAAAAATTAGTCAGGTGTGATGGCGCACGCCCGTAGTTCCAACTACTTGGAAGGCTGAGGCAGAATGATCGCCTGAGCTCAGCAGGTTGAGGCTGCAGTGGCCGTTGAGCGTGCCACTGCCCTCCAGCCTGGGCGACAGCGTTAGACTCCGACTCAAAAGACAAAAAAAGAACCCAGTTCAAAAAAAAAGCCAGCCTAGGTGGATGAGAGGAAATATCACAGCTGTGGGGGTGGGAACGGGGCAGGATTTCTTAGGGTGCTGGGCCTGGAGTGACCTTCCAGTAGATGCTCCAACGGGTCCCCATAATTCCGAGACTCTTGGCCATAGGATCACAGAGCCCTAACGTGGGGTCCCTGAGGCTGACCCCCATCCCCGGGCCACTTCGTGGCGAGCGGGTGAATTCTCGCCAAGGAAAGCTCTGGTCCCAGCTGGGCAGCAGAAGCCACTCGACTGCCGACTGCCGCCCACCTGGACCTTGCCCCATGTGCGTATCTGGCCGGCGCCCCCGACACCCGGACTACCACCACCCTCCCAGGAATGGGGCAAAGCCCAGGACCCCACAGTGGATGGCGCCACCGCTTTTCCCCAGGGAGTTAAAGTCTGAAGCCCGTTGACTCCGCATCCCTGCAGGGTGGGTTCTAATATGAGCCTCATTTTCCAGATGGGGGAAGGCAGGCGAGGCAGAGCGGGGGCTCCTGCCCCAGGGCTCTCGGCGAACGTTGCTAACCCCCCCCGCCCGCTCTGGGGGCTGGGGGCCGCAGCTCCTCCCCACTGGTGTCTGAGCAGCAGCCCGCCGGGTCCCTAGCTGCCTGCACGCCCCCACGGGCCACAGGGCAGGAAGCACCTGGTCTGGAGCGGATGCACAGGGCGCCTGGTTCCGGTCCGGCTTCCGCCACCGCGGCCCCAGG